TAGCAAATTGCTCGGGTTTGACTTCCGGGTGGAATATAAGGCGGGATCCTCTAATCGCGCAGCTGATGCCTTGTCTAGGCGAGAAGAAGAYGCGATGGTTCTATGTAGCATTTTCCAACCTCGGATCTCTCTGTTTGACGACATTAAGAAGGCAGCACCACAGTCCCCGGAATGGTTGCTCTTACTGCAGAAGATCCAAACCGTCACGGCCGACCCCAATTGGTCACTTCACGACGGGTTGGTACTATATAAGGGACGAGTCCATCTTCCAACAGACTACCCGTTGATTCCCACCATCATCACCAGCATCCATAACTCCACCCATGAGGGCATTCAAAAAACACTACACCGCGTCCGGACTGATTTCCATTGGCGAGGTATGAAGACTTCTATTCGAGATTTTGTTTAGAATTGCTCTACATGCCAACAACACAAATAGGAAAACCTACACCCGGTAGGCCTCCTTCAGCCCCTTTCCATCCCATCGTAGATCTGGGCCGACATCTCCATGGACTTCATTGAGGGACTTCCCAAGGTAGGGGGCAAATCAGTTCTCTTTGTGGTAGTCGACCGCTTCTCTAAATACGAGCACTTCATTCCTCTATCACACCCGTATAGTGCCACTTCGGTTGCCCTCGCCTTCTTTACACATATCTTTCGCTTACATGGGTTGCAGGAATCCATCGTCAGCGATAGAGACCCGGTCTTCACTWGTGCCTTCTGGAAAGAGTTATTTCGACTACACGGCACCACCCTGGCCTACTCATCAGCTTACCGGCCACAAACCGACGGTCAGACGGAAGTGGTTAACCGCACTATCGAGATGTATCTCCGCTGTTTTGTTGGCGATCAACTTCGACGGTGGTTGGAATGGCTTCCTTGGGCYGAGTACTACTACAACACAGCCTACCATTCCTCCCTCGGCATGACTCCCTTTCGCGTCGTTTACGGCAGGGATCCTCCCTGCTTACTGTCCTACGAGCCCGGATCTACTCGCTTGGATGCAATCGATCACTCCTTACAGGACCGCGATGCCCTCCTTGCCGACGTCCGCATTCGCTTACAACAGGCCCAGCTCCGCATGAAGCTCCACTATGATAAGCACCACCGGGAACTATCGTTCGATCCAGGACAATTTGTTTGGTTGAAGCTCCAGCCCTACCGGCAGC